TGAACATGGAAAAAGCAACATGCATCGTAGGAGAAGATTAGTCTGCATTTGGAGGTTGTTATCTACTTTTTCTGAATTTTGTTTTTGTGCCAGGTGGCTCACAGTTGCCATGATCTGACAAAACAAACTTTACTCTGTGCCTGGCTGCTGGATGTTTGCAGCCTCACAGCTGCAGCTCCTGGTCAGATACACGGAGGAAAGGACCACAGTGCCAGTTTCATCCACGTAGACGACTGGCACCATTTCCTTGGAGTGGGGCAGACAACATGGCACCTACAGCAACAGAACAACAAAGAAATTTGGCATCAGCAACACTGCCTAATAGTCTGTTACAGAGGTCTTCAATATGGGGGTCACAACCCCTTTGTGGGACGACCAGTTACAATTGGTACAAATACAAATGTTAAAATTTTGAACGTGCAAAATAAAATCTGAAACTGAGCCCTGATGTGAAAAGTAGCTGTATATGTAGGGACCGCATTTTAAAAACTGCTTGACTGAATATTATTAAGCCATAACCGATTAAATATCATAACACAGTACATGGAAACAAAACTTGTTTTTTTAATCATTTTTTCATAGTTAATTAAGTTAACATTATAAATGCAGAGAACTGTACCTGTGAGCTGTCATCCTGGATGCGGGCGTGAGAGGATGGACACTGCACAGTGTTTGTTTCATAGTTGCACAATGCACACTGGACAAAAGTGAGGCTCGGGGGATAGACCACCCAGTCGTCCCAGCCCAGATCTAGCAGAAATAAAACAATATTTTACAAGGTTTTATTCCTATTTTAGTTAATAAGTGTGTGCGCTACATGTAACATTTAGTGCATGCTTACCTTTCATGAAAATCTCAGACGTCATGGCGCAACACTCCAGGTTCCTTCTGTCTCCACGCCTGGTTGTGGCAACTGGAGGAATTTTTTTATTATTATTAAAAAAAGGCACATTAGGTTGGAACAGTGAAATGGTCAGAAGAATTAAAAAGTTCAGAATACACATGCCTGAAATGTCCGTGGTTCTGTCAGACAAGGCGCCAAAGTTCCTCTGCCATCTCTCTCTGAGAGCATCCAGACCACCAGCAGGAAGACGCGGCTCAGTCTGGAGGTTCAGTTCTCTGAGGAGATGCTTCTTGATGTCCACTGACTCAAACTGGCACCTGAAGAAAAATAAACATTATGTAAAAAAAAAGAAAAAAAAAAAAAAAAAAAAAAGACAGGCGCCATTAAAACACAGTTGCAAAAAAAATCAAAAGCAGAACAGTATCTTTCTTTTTCAAAACACATCAACTCATCTGATACAAATTTTAAGCATCACGTTTAAAAAAAACACAACAGCTTCTCAACATGAAGGCTGTGACATTTCCTGTCTTTTCTATGAAAAAAACTTTGATAGAAAATCTACAGAAATGGTACGCATACTGTTTGTCAGAGTCTGACCTGTTGCGAGACATAGAAGAGACTGCAGCTTTTTCATGGGACGGCTGCAAGACAAACGCAAGCACAACCGAAGAAGAACCCAGGAGCATTAGCATGGCACTGAATGCAAAGGACATGGTGGCCAAGGTGAAGGGTCTGCCAGATGAGACGCTTTCAAATCAGAAGAATTCTGCAGCGGCTCGGTGGTGCGTGTCAGGTTGGAGGTTGCAGATGGACGTGTAGAGACCAGGATGCTCTACGCCGTATTGTTAGACAGCGCCTGGGAACCTGAGTTTTTATCTTCCTCAACTCCAGCTTGGCCTTGAGATACTTTACATTGTTGCCTTCTCGCCCCCTGGTCTGTGTGAAAATAAGTAAAGGCAGAAAAGAGAGATTTATGGAAATGACAATTAGAAAGGAAAAAAAGTGATGAAAGTATATGGCAAATGGCATACATCCATAAAATAATATTTATGTTTAAAATTATGCTGAAATTAAAAAAAATATCTATTGTTAAACTTTTGTCAATACAACATATCTTATCATCAAAACTTTACCAGTGTGAAGCACATCATATGGTATATTATATTCTGCAGTACACTAAATGAAATCCAATTTTATATGATTTATTTCAGCATCGTCCGGATATAAAACATATAGAACTGTTTCAAATGTTTGTTTTTTTTTTCAAATATAACATCAAGATAAACAACAAACACATGGCTTCTTTTTTAACTATCATGCTTATTTAGGGTTGGGTTAGCAAAAGGCTAAGCTACGTTAAGATAAGCTACAGTATGAGCAGCTAAGCAAAGCTAGGCTAAAACTAGATAAGAACTAAATTAAATCTAAATGCCACAAAGAGAATCATATATTGACATAAAATAACTACTTACAATTCAGAAAAAAAAAAAGAAACTAAAAAAAGATAGATGTAAAATATTAAATGTTACATCAAAACACTCAGTTCACCCAGATAGACAATCAGTTACTACAGGGAACTGAAGCAGTGA